TGAGGGAATTGCTGAAGGTCACATGGCTAGTTAGTGATAGTGTTCAAATTGGCCCAACTTCTAAGTGTTCTGGTATGTGAAACACTTGCTGATGCCTTTGGCCTAACAGAGCAGTCTTTGCTGATATTCTCTTGAGTTCAAAATTCTTTTGCTCTTGGCCTACACAGATTGAATAAAAGAAGGGGTTACACTGGATTCCAAACATTGTAGGTGTAGGTGGATGCTCTTCCGTCCAGTCCTAATATTAACAAGTCATACTTCATCTTGGGAGTGGGGGTGTTTGAAGTCCTGTTGCTACACAGAAAAAAACCCAGCAATCCAATCTCAGCACTGTTAGCAGAGCTTTGATCCTGGATTTACTTCTCAAGAGAGTGAATTCCAGGAAGACATAACAGAGCTAAATCTGGAGGTGTTTATTGGTCTCTGAAAATTTGAGATAAAACACATATATACCTGCAACACATTTCTATTCATGTATCTATTCAATAAATGTTTGCCAAATACTTACTATGTACTTGGCACTATGTAAGGTACTAGAGATACAAAGAGGAATGAGACAGTCTTGGCCTTACAATCTAGTTGGTAAATGGTCATTTATACGATAATAATACAACGTTTAAGTGCTAAACCCAAGGCATACATAAGGTATCATAGGTAAAAAAAAGTGCTAAAGAATGGTCCCCAGAAAAAACTTAGAGGATGAGACAAAATAGGAACACAAACTTAGGTAAATATATAAAGAGCATAAATTTATTTCTCCTCTATAATTAATCATGTAAGTTTGGTTCTAATGTAAATGCCTTTGCAATGCTCCCAACTGGTCTCCATGCTTCTACCCTTGACTCCCTGCAGTATATTCTCGACCAGTGGCCAGAGTGACTCTGTTAACAACTAAGTCAGATCATGTCATGTCTCTGTGCAGAACCCTCCAGAACTTCCCATCTCCTTCAGAGAGAAAACCAAAGTCCTTGAAGTGATCTACAAGGACTTATGTGATCTGCTCACCTGCCTCACTCCACCCCCGCCATCTTGAACTTCTGGCCTCACCTTCTGTTCCTTTCTTGTGCTCTGCCCTGGCCATGTTGGCTCATCTCTGTACCTTAAGTCAAGGACACTCCCACCTCAGGGCCACTGTGCTTGCTGATTTTTCTGCCAAGAGTGATTTTCCCTTGAATATCCTTGTGGCTTACTCCCTTACTCCCTCCTGGTTTTCACTCAAATGTCACTTGTAGTGAGGTCTTCCCTGGCCACCCTTTCTAAAGTTACATCCAACACACATACACACACACACACACACACACACACACACACACATGCACACTCATGCACACACATATACACAATTCCTGTCCCTTTTTCTTGCTTTTTATTTCTTCTATAGTGCTTATGTATACACCTGTCATATTATATACTTTATTTATCTCATTTATTTTCTGTCTCTCCCATTATAACGTAAATTCGTCAGTACATAAGCCTAGGGATTTTTGTCTACTTGGTTTGCTGCTATATCCCCATGGCCTAGAAGAGTGTGTGGTAGAATAGGCCCTCAATAAATATTTATCTATTGTAACGATACATCTTACTGGTGTCATGTTCCAAGAGAATTCTACTTTACCTTCTATATAAATCTCAGCAGAAGTTGAATCTGTCCCATAGATGTTAGAAGCAAAGCAGGAATAGCGTCCTGTGTCCTCTTCGAAGGCTTCGGCAATGGTCAGTGAGTGCAGATTTCCTGCCTGGATGATGTGAATGTCTGGGGAATTTTCAAGCTCCTTGCCTTCACAGTACCACCTGCAGGGGAGAGAATATGGCCATTGGACTTGACTGAAATATGAGATGATAAGCTAGACGGCTCCAGATATTCTCTAAGGAGAAAACTGTGATCTCAATTCAAAGTAAGAATAAAAACCAATCCATTATTACAGTAGTATTTGATTATAACAATGAGAAGAGTTGGCAGTATTCAAATCACATTGACACCTGACTCAGGAAATTAGAAAGTGGCTCCTATTAAGAATGATACAATGGGGAGAAGATGGATAAGAAAGCAAGTACAGCCAACCACCAAGAGCAGGGTCTTTAATGTGGAACTTGGCTTCACCTGAAATGACTTCTAGATTTCCATAGTGTGCATTAAATAACTGCGATATTAGCTTATTAGAGAATCTAAGAGATAATAAAGGCTTGCGAAGTTGTGTACACTCATTCCCTCCTAAGAAATTGCATCTGACCTAAGTAAATGAAAATTAATTTGTTCTGTTACTGGAGTCATTGGAGTAAGGAGGATGGGTCATATTCTCCCAGAAGTGGCCCAACTCTGGCAAATAACCTAAGGTAAATATGTTTCTATATGTTAAGCTAAGAAGAGGCAAGGAAGGATTCTACCCAGAGTTTTGGATGGGACATGGACCTGGTGACACTTGGATTTCAGACTTCTAGTCTATCCAGAACTGTGAGAGAACAGATTTCTGTTGTTTTAAGCTATCCAGTTTATAATAATTTGTTATGGAAGCCCTAGGAACCAGATATGGTGGGCAAGAAATAAGATATACTCATATTATTTGCATTTGCATAAAGACAACTGGAAAGAATAAAATGCCAAAATAGCCAAAAGTGGCTATCCATTGGGGTGGATAAGGATAGATGGTAATAAGATGTCTCAGTGTACACTTTTATGTTTTTTCATTTTCTGAAATAATAATAGTTTTTTTTTTTAGAGATATGGTGTCACTCTGTTGCTCAGGCTGGAGTGCAGTGGCACGATCATAGCTCACTGCAGCCTTGAACTCCTGGGCTCAAGCGATCCTCTTGCCTCAGCCTCCCAAATTAGCTGGGACTATAGGCACACACC